CAAATTTGACTATAGATTCGATGGAAGTTCAGGAATTAGGATTCCACTACCAATTTCCAATTGGAAATGCTAAATTTTAAGATTAAATTTTCATGCGATGTATTAATTACTAATAATTCTTACTCCTATTTTTTGAGGCCCTTCTCCAACGAGAGGCCCTAGGCAAATGCCTAGGTTGACTGGCCCCAAAGCCGGCTTTGCCGGTTCTGAATATAAAATTGAGGCCCCACATTAACATAAAAAAATTGAAAAAAAAATCGACCAAAATACTTATATTCAATTGAATACTTATTAAAAAAGAACTAAAAGAGTAAAAGGGCCAACGAAAATGATGAATCTATATATTTCTTCCTTACTAAATTTATTTTACTGATTAGTATGAATATATAATACTACTCCATACTATATAATACTAAAAGAAATTTAAAATTTTGGGGCCCCATAAATTCGGGGGCTCTGTTCTGGATACCCTATTGAACCCCCTAAAAAATGGCTCTGGGTTATATCCATATAATTTTCGCTTATTGAAAATCTTAATCGTTGTACTGCAGATACAAAAACCTTGTTTTAAAATTACAAAAAACTATTTGATTGATAAGCTAGCAAAAGAATTTATCAAACAGAACTTAAATTTTAAATTTATTCTCATATTTTAAATTTATTCTCATCTTGTATTGTACTCCGTATAACATTATTATTATTATAAACTGGTGTACATAGAACAGTAGAATAGGATGGCGTAGGTTTATTTTTGGAAGCTTTATTAATAACATTTACAATGAGTTTACAATAGTTTGTTTAGGAGTAAACAGGACTTTTAGTCTGAGGGGGTGTATTCAATTTGGATTGTTGTGGAGTTTTTTTAATCCATGGACTTTTAAAAAAGTCAATGGACTTTTAAATCCATAGACTTTTTTATGAATGAATTCTATGGACTTTTAAATCCATGGATAAGTTTATTGACTTTCAAAAAGTCCATAGACTTTTAAATGCGGACCGCCACTGCTGTTCGTCAAAATTTTCACCTAGATTGTCGCTACCGATATGCCTGTGACCTGTCCACATCCATCACCGGAGTTCCCCGCTGTCGTCATCGGACTGACGCGTCACCAACAAAATGGTTTTGGTTCTGAAAGGGAACTAGGGACAATTAATTATATTAATTAATTAATTAAATTAGGGGTGAATATGTAATATTTATTCCCATTTAAGAAAAACTAAACATTTAATCATACTTTAAGAATAATGCTATGTTTTAGTCCTACCGTGAGTGATTTCCTCTATATAATACGGAGTACGATAAGAAATAAATAAGTAAGTAAGTAAATAAATAAATCAATAAATAAATAAATAAATAAATAAATAAATAAATAAATAAATAAATAAATAAATAAATAAATAAATAAATAAATAAATAAATAAATAAATAAATAAATAAATAAATAAATAAATAAATAAATAAATAAATAAATAAATAAATAAATAAATCAATAAATAAATAAATAAATAAATAAATAAATAAATAAATAAATAAATAAATAAATAAATAAATAAATGAAAAAATGTAATTCAAATAGCAAGACAAAGTTCTACAAAAATAAATGAAGCATAAGAATTCAAATTCATTTTTATTAAAAAAAACTCAAAGTTTCAAAAATGCTCGAGAATTTTGGCCATTTTATTAATGATTAAGAACATTAATCGTTACACAAGCGTTACACTCATTGCTACATGTGGTACAAGCATAAATGCAATCGAGCTTTTCTACTTAGTGATTGTTTTCTTTTAACTTCTATCTTGTAAAAACTTGTATATGTATTTATGGTTATATATTTATTAATTTGAAATTATATTTATATGTGTTAAGCGATTTAACGATGAAAGAAAGTGGTAGTTAAAATATTTATTTTCTTAATGGTTAACTGATGACGTATCAGAATTGCATTGATGTAATACTATCGATTCTTATATCGATTCTTCTATAAACTTCTAGAATCGAATCAATATAGGATTACTGAATTGAGGGGGTGGACTGGGGACGGCAAGCTAAAGAAGAACAAGAAGAATGGAAGGAGAGGGGTGGGCGAGCTGGGTTGAAGAAGAAAAAGAAGAAAGATTGAAGAGGAAGGTGTGGCTTGGCTAAAGAAGAGTAGAGTTGGGGGAGGGGGGGAGTAGGCTTGGCCCGAGGCCGGTCTGACTGGCCCGGGACCCGGCCCGGCCCGCCACTGTGCGGGTCCGACCCGGCCCGTTGGATCGGTACTGGGCCTAGGCCCGACCCGGGGGGATTAATTGGGGCGGTTCCGGAACTGCATATTTGAGGACCAGCCCGGCCGGTCCGGGCCTTATTTGTTTTTTTTTTGGGTGGGGGGGGGGGGTTGGGCCTATGGTAGGTAGGTTGGGTGTTTTGGAGGGGTTTGGGGGTGAGGGTTGGAATATATAAGAAAACCGAAAAAAATGAACCAGCCCGGCCCAACTCGGAACTGGCCCGGCCCAACCCGGAACTGGCCCGGCCCGATACCGGTAGACTCCCGGGCTGGTCCCGGGCCTTACCCAAAGAATTCCAAGTCCGGCCGGGCCCGACTCAGAACAGAAACTGGGTCTGGCCCGGTCCATCCCTAGGAGGGAGGGGAGGAATGAGGTGGGACGGGATGAAGAACCGATATAAGAAAAGTCCACGGAAATCTTTGGTGAGGAGAAGAGACAATTGTAGAGATTTTTTGCACTAAAAATGAGTTAAAAGTCCACGAGAATCCATGATTTTAGAAGTCAATAAGAATGAACGGAAATTTGAATACGCCTAGACTTTTATAGACTTTTAAAAGTCCGAATTGAATACACCTAGACTTTTGTGGACTTTTAAAAGTCCACATTGAATACACCTAAACTTTTAAAATCCATGTACTTTTAAAATTTTGCCACTAAATCCTAATACAATACACCCCCTGAGTCTATGATGTAAAGATACTAAAGTAGTTAAAACAAGATATATATAAAAATAAGCAAATTATAATCAATAACAAGGATTTATCTCTAATAAAGAAGCTAGCTCAAAGTTATTATACATTAAAGTTTGGCATTTTGCGAAGGAATCCAAAATTTCTTGACTTTTGGGTCATCTATGTGAGGGATATTGGGTAAAAAGTAAAGACTTCAATTTTGATTTCGACCCAACATGCTGTCAACATTTAGTTTGTCTTTGAGCTTTACAAAATAAAGACTTCAATTTTCACTATTTAGTTGTTCTAAAAAACTTTGTTATTTCCACATAAATATGTATTTAAAAGTTGTTTTTCTTTTTTCTATAAAAATCTCAAACACACAATTTTTACATAATGATTTCACGTTCAATTGGAACAGAGGGAGTATATACTTCATCTGCCAGGCCAATAGCTCCCTGTGATGCCAGGACTGATTTAGATGATGATTTTCCCTCTCTAGGACAGAAGACCTAGCAGTTGCTTGAAGTCTTAGGACAAACGTTTTCTAAATGTTAGACCAAAGACTGTAAATGTCAAGCACTAATTATTGTCCTTGACAAAACGTAAAATATGCAATATAAAGTAGCCTTCTTTTTATATGTGTGTTGGGCAATTTATAAAGCAACTCCATGTACGGTCCAGATAACTCTTGAGGATAAAAGTAGCTTTGAATGATTTTATTCGAACCGCCGATCAATTCATGGAGTAACGTCATTGTGGACGGACGTACGATGAGGGGGCGGTGGTTTTATTCACATAGACTTACTCACTTGCTGCCAACTGGAAACTTCCCACTAGCTTGTACATCTTCAATTCCTGTTTTCTGTTCTTTTCTTTTTTCTTTCTAATAGTCTCTATATTCTCATCTCCGTCTCATCTCCATTCATGTTCAAGCAATCAATAATCCTTTGCATCTTTTTCCTCACCTCACTACATGAAGAAGCTCAATCCTTGTACTTGAATTCCACAACTTGCAAACCCCAAGATTGTGGTAATGGAGTGAAGATCTCCTTCCCTTTCTGGATTACCACCAAACAAAAACCCTTCTGTGGTTTACCTTCCTATAACATAACATGTGTTGATGATCAACCATTCATCAAGATTCACGCCGAAGAATACATCATCCGGGACATATATTACTCGAGCAATTCTGTCCGCCTGGCTCAACCCGAGGTCTATGATCCGGGTGATAAGTGCCCCATTCCACGACACAATCTGCGCACACATAGGACTCCATTTAGCTATGGCCCGAACACTGCAGACCTAGTGTTCTTCTACAATTGCACTGAACCATTCGGGATGGAGAGTTATCCCGTGGATTGTGCCAAAAACGAGAGCCATCATGCTTTCGCGGTTTTCCGTTTTGATCTCATGGAGCACAAGACCTATTCTATAAACACGTGCCAAGCGCCGGTTAATATGCCGGTTGAGGTTGAGGGAATAGACAAATTGTTGGAGATGAGTTATGTTGAGGTTTTAAAGAGAGGGTTTATTCTGCAGTGGAAGGAGTCTCGTTGTAGATACTGCGAAGAAAGCGGGGGAAGTTGCGGTCATTACAATAGTCAATTCCTTTGTTTCTGCCATAACCAAACACATACCAAAACCTGCCCTCTATCTTCTAGCTCTCTTAGCAACAATGATCAAGGTTCGAACTTTTCTGGTTAGAGTGATTGCAATAATGTATCCATGTTTTTATTTAGCATAATATGTGGGTTTAGTGACAAATAAGTATCCTATCTTAACATTGGCTTCCAAGTGGCAAGAGGATAGAGCATGATCTATCTTAGAACATGCCGACGCTCACTTTTTTAATCCTTACCTGAACAGAATTGCTAAATTAAGTTTCATCCAATGTTTAATTAGCAATTTCTTTCCTGCTTCTGATTTCCCAAATGGAAAGAACAAGTTTCCTTTATTCCATATTTTTCCCCTGGTCTTTTATTTATGATCTCATTACATATGATTTGCTTTTTGAGTTTTAAGGCTTCGGAACAGAAACTGAACTTGTTTTTTTTACTGCAGTGGATATGGCAGGATCGTCAGTGAATTTGAAGATTGGCTTAGGTAAGTTGCATCAAGTTACACTTTGATGATCATTCTTAAGAGTACATATGTATATATATGACAATCCTAACAATAATAATCTCTTGAATCAGTTTCAAACTTTGATCATAATTAATTAATTAGGCTTTACATATTATAGGCGTTGGTGGAGCTGCGCTTGGTGTCATATTAATGGGTGCCTCTTGGTTTGCTTGCCAGCGACGACGACACAAGAAGCCAAATGCTTCATCCTACTTCATGTCACGAAGCACTCCTTCCGATCCCTCTACTTCAACTATGGATCTTGAGAAGTCGGGGAACTACCATGGAGTCCACCTCTTTGAGTATAGTGAGCTTGAAGAAGCAACTGATCATTTCAACCCAAAGCATGAACTTGGAGATGGCGGCTTTGGGAGTGTCTACAAAGGTAATAATGATGATAGAAACAATGCTGATAATAATAATGATAATGTAGTAATTATCATACATAGCAATAAACAGCATTGTGGAACTTTTACATTGTAGGTAAACTGAGAGATGGGCGGGTTATTGCGGTGAAACGTTTGTATGAGAACAACTACAAGAGAGTAGAGCAGTTCATGAACGAGATCGAAATCTTGCAGCGACTATCCCACAGGAACCTGGTGAGGCTTTACGGGTGCACATCGCGCCATTGTCGTGAGCTTCTTTTAGTCTATGAGTACATCCCAAACGGGACGATAGCAGACCACCTTCATGGTGAGGCCGCGAATCCGGAATCCCTCTCATGGGCCACGCGGTTGAGCATCGCTATCGAAACCGCAAGCGCGTTGGTGTACCTCCATGCCTCAGAAGTCATTCACCGCGACGTCAAGACCAGCAACATCCTCCTGGACGACGCCTTCCGTGTCAAAGTTGCGGATTTCGGGCTGTCCCGCCTCTTCCCGACGCACGCCACGCACATTTCCACGGCCCCGCAGGGCACCCCTGGGTACCTTGACCCGGAGTACCACGAGTGTTACCAGCTAACGAGCAAGAGCGACGTGTACAGCTTTGGGGTGGTGTTGATCGAGCTTATCTCGTCACTGCCGGCAGTTGATATCACGAGGCATAGGCACGAGATTAACCTGTCCAACATGGCAATCAACAAGATCCAGTGCAACGCCTTGCCAGAGTTGGTGGATAAGAGTCTGGGATTTGATTCGGATGAGAGAGTTAGGGAGATGATATGCGCGGTGGCGGAGCTGGCCTTCCAATGTCTGCAGAGTGCCAAGGAAATGAGGCCTTCCATGGAAGATGTGTTGGAAAGTTTGCTCGAGATACAGGGCTTGGAGAAGAAGGATTCTATGGCAAGTCCAACGGTCGCCCCACTGTTGGTGAAGAATGGTAGTTGCAAGTTGCCCACCCTTTCTCCCAATTCTGTCATCCTAAATGCTCAATGGCCAAGCAGATCTACATCTCTCAGCTGCAACAGCTGTTAATTAATTTCACAGTTTTGTTCTTTTTGCAGATATTTTTGTTCTCTTTCTAGATTTTGAATGCTCACTAAGAGTTGACCATACATTATATTAAATTTATTTGTGAATTGTGCCCTACCGGCTACAATATGTGTATATATTTGTCTTGGTAATTATAGTGAATGGGAATACAAATACTCCACTGTATTTCACTACCAGTTCTAAATAATTGAAGCCCGATGCTGACCCGGTTTAGTCCGCTAACTTATTTGAACTATTTAATACTCCATAGCATCCATTGGAAGTCCTCCCCCTCTACATGTAGGCAGCTCATTGCCTGCAAATCTTGGAAAATTACTTTCTTTCCCCTATCCCAACAAAGCATCCAACAATTTAAAGGATACCCGCATTTCCAAAGTCAGAAAGTATAATACATAGTGCTATAATGGTACTTTCCCAATATTCACATTGAAATGATACCTGCACTATCAAAGTAAGAACTTACAATAGATAATGGTGCTTCCCCCAATATGAGAGATTTCATATCAAGGCAAGCATCCAGCAAACCTAAAATCCCATCCAGTGAAGTCCTGAAGATGGAAGATATGATTAGAGAGTATTTAGTATTATGAGAAGTGCTTTTAATGTAAATAGAAATACTTTTGATTTAAAAGAAGCATTTGTCAAATTAAAGAAACTTTTTGACAAAGAAATGAAATAAATGAAATAATAATAAAACACTCTTTGTGCTTAATGGAAAAGTCCAAGAATGCCACTATTTGAGAAAAGCACTTACAGTTCTTAGATGAGAAAGAACTAATCATTAATCCAAGCAGTCATAGCAAAAGTCATTCCTACGGTGGTATAGGATACTACCCGCAATTTTCCTTTTCAAAGCTGTAGTATTAGAACCAAAAGAGCCTAAAGTTAATATGAAAATTGTCATTTATGTTGGTGCTAATTTTCATTCCCCACCGCATTTAAAGAATTGATGAAGAGCCTAAAATCTCCTATGATCTTCCAGTCTCTCACCTGAATGGGATTTGCAGGCTGCTCCTAAAGAGTGTCAAGTCATTCATTGTGTTTAGCTATTCTTTCACTAAGTGCCCTATAATGTTCCAACATAAAAAGAACAATCTTTTTAGCATATAAAGATTGTTCATAAGATTGTTCAAAGTTGATGCAGAAGGGCCTAATCTAAAATGGCATAACTGTTGCATATACATTAGCAAAATCAAGAATATAGTACCCAAAATCTTATAATAAGACTTTTAGATTTTTCTTTGCAAAGGAAGAAATGCTTGACTCATTCATATTTAACATAGTTTTAAAACGCAAGACATACTAATGGCAGATTCCCTGATTCAAGAAAATCTGAAATATACCTTGCATACTCTCCCTTCATGACAAACACATCTTGCCTAGGTTCAATTAGCTGGATTATTCATGTAGTCATTCAAAACATATTAGTAACTAAAATTCAGGGAATTCATTTAAAACTCAAACTAACCTAGGTGAGCACCAAATACATAGAGAAAGTCAGGTAACATCCAACAATAGAATACCCTTTTCATTGAAGTGCACAAAGGAATCAACTTTGGGAGTAGAGGGGCTCTTGTGGCCTTGACAAGGTATGCAATTGCATAACTCATTTGAACAACATAGTTCACACGAAAACCCAACCATTTACTTCATACATGCATGCTTTAGGTAGTTTTCTTTATGAAAAACTAATAACTTTAGAGTAAACGAAAAATATGACTATGATTTTTCTAGCTAATTTCGAGATAAAAAAGAAAGTAAAATAGGTGAGGGGACCAAATCAAACCCCCACCAGACATTCCTTCTCAAAGTATATGAGAAAATGTAAATGAAAACTAATGCTAATATTTAACACATTAATAGTACAGATCATATTCCACACTTTATATCATAGCAAGTGAATCAACATGTACCTGGTCATAAAAAAGTACCAATACATAAACCACAAAGTGTATCATCAAGCTATGAATATAATACTCTGTGTGAATATAAAAGTTTTTCGTCTTTAATACTCTTTTTTTTTAAATGTAGCGGGTTAAGAAAATGTGTTCTCTGCATATTAAAAAGAGATTTCATTCAATCATTACGGGAAAAAATTACCGCTTGCAAATAATTATTGGTTTTGAAGTTTGAAAAGAAAAACGCTATCCTTACAGGGGGAATACCATTGTATTTTGTGTGGCTGATCTGCACTTCTCTGATCGAAGAGCCGGCTAGTAGCGGTGGGGGCGGCGAGCTTCCGCAGTTGATCCAAGAGGAGGCCAGCGGCAGCGGGGGCAGCGAGTTTCCATCCAGATTCGATGAGCGCTTCTTAACACTGTAGTCGTTAGAGAGGAAAACGGGGTGTATCTTTTGGGTTTCGTCATCGGATGTGCTGATTCGTTGGAAGTTGCCATCAGCGGATCAGCCTAATTCCCCCCTCTTTCCATTCCTAGTTCTACGGTTGATTGAGAAAGAGGAAGAGGACATACGTGACTGACCAAAAAATAAACCCGACTGGTACTTCTTCAAGTTTAGTAGCTCAAGAGTTTCCAGGTTCCTGGGCATTGATTTACTTTATTTTTTGCGCAGCGGATTCGCTTCCTATTCCTACGAGACGTCAGTTCCTTTCAAAGGCAGACAGAACGCAGAACACCGGTATTGACGGAGAATATGGGTTTTAATTAACAGAGGGCATCAGGGATATAACGGAGGAAATACTAATGGTACAACAAATTCAGCTGAATTTACAACCTAATAATGCTACAAAGTTACACCAACAAAAATTTCATTCCCAAAAGGGCATAACTCTCATTCACCATTATAATATTTTAGATTAGATTAGATTTGGAGGAAACCCTGAAATTTTACTTATTGCATTATACTCACTCTTTTGACTTATTTCACTGTTTGGAGGAAACCCTGAAAATATACTTAAAATATTTATTTGACTACCTTCCCGATATAATTTTTAGCTGAAATTTTTTGTGTATAAACTAGACTTGATGAGGAACATGCCCAAAAATTTTCATCACAAAGTTCCACCGAGAACCGCCCAAACGATGGTGGCCGGACAGCGTTCCTGTCCATCTGGATGGACATGATCTTTTTCCACCTAACTAGATGGTACATATATTGCTGATGCAGCTATTTAACTTGTTTTCCATTATTATGTGGTCATGATAAAACTTTTACTTTCAAAACTCAAAAGTCAGTTGCCGGAAATGTATGAAAAGTGAAAACTACTTCTGTCTTTGTTTATGTTCCATGTTAGACAAATTCAGTGTCCCTCTCTAAACTTATATGCTAACCAACTTCTCTAAGGTCATATTTTGTGCCTCACTAGCGTTTCTTTCTTAGACGTTTCCTACATGTACAGTAAGGTTATGGATGCATTGCAAGTAAGTGACAAGGTGTATCAATTTAGCTAAATAAAATGAGGACACGGAGTATAAGTGTCGTATGCTTTGGTGAGGATTGTCTTAGGTAGTGACTCTGCTGGGTTTTTTCTTTGTTTTTGATCCATGAGGAAAGCCCAACTATTGAGCCCATTGAAAGTCTTCTTTTGACTTTCTATTTTGGGAGCTAATAATAAAAAGAGGGTCAACCACTATCTCAAATACAAGGACAGAAAGAGAGCAGCTGATAGAGAGAGAGAAAAAGTCATAAAAACATGAGCTGAATGCTCATCCAGTTTTTCAGCAGGCAGCAACAGAAATGTTTTCGTTTCCCGGAGATTGAACCGTTAGATCGTCCTGATTTTTGGACAGCTGCTTCACAGCATCTGGGCAAACATTCTGGACAGTGGAGATTGGGTTTTGAGGCTTGGAGGTCAGGTTTCATTGGTCTGGACAGTAACTATTTTTCTGGTTCTTACTTCCAAGGATATGATGATTTTGTATGCCTCTAGTATTATCTAGAGAAGACTTTGTACTGCTCCTTTGATGATGATAGTGGATTTAAGCGGCCAAAATTTCGGTGTCTTTATGTGGTGTGTGCTTACTGTTTTATCTGATTATATTGGTGTGTGGCAGCAATATTGTGTGTGTTCTAATTGCATTAAGAACACCCTATTTGTTTGCATCGTCAAAGGTTCATTCAAGTTGGGAAAGTTTAGCCAAACGAAAATTATTCCGCATTTTATTAGTTACCGTTTGTGGCTGTTTTTCCCTTCAAACTCGATCCAAATTGATAAAGAAAAAGAGTATTTGAGAAGAGTGACATACAGTAGCCTGAATTGTTCGTTGCTTTCACTTTGTAACTTCAATGAAATTTGTTTCACCTTCTGAAATTTTTTAGCATCTCTGAAGTTAGATGCGTAGTTCTCCGTAAGTATGTCTGTAGCTCTAGCTTATTTTGTTAAAGCATAAAATGAAAGAAATTGTGATTTGTAAGAGTTCTTAAAAAAATGGCATGTTGTGCTGTTCCTAAAGGATAAGCAAAACATATCAAAATGGAAATTAAGAAATTCGAATCTAAATTTTTTGGATCCTATTATGTGGTGGAGCACGTAAACAACCTTTTCGTGATACACAATTACTTAAAATATCTATTAAATAAAACAAAGGAAATGACATAGAATAGCTAAAATAGTTATATATTCTGCAAGTTCATCTAATTATTCATAAATGTAACTTCAATCATATTTATTTTATAAAAAAGTTTTGTGCTTGATAATAAGTCAAATAATGAGATAACCAAATGGGTTCACAATTGTAGTCTAACGTTAGTGTTTAGTTAATAGCACCTCCCTCACGTCACAATAAGATAAGAAAAAGATTTTGGTTTGTATTTTGCAATTGTCAAAGTCTGATCTGATATGGTCTAATTGATTTAATTGTTATCTGATCTGATATCTTGATTAAAACATAATCTTTTGAACTTTTTTCTCAACTTATTCCACAATTAAATAACATGACATTTAGCTTTTTTTATGAATTCAATTAATAAAAAATGTGATCAATATAATGTAAAATACCAAATTCTACATTCCGAACTTATCAATATAAATAATTTGATTTTGTGAAATAAACTACCAATTCTTTCATTATTTTTTGTTAACCTACAATAAATATTTTTCATGTGCATCGCACGGGTACTATACTAGTGGTAATAGTAATAATTTACCCATAATTTGTGTTAAAATTGGAGTTAATATTGAACATGATAAAAACAAATTAATAATAAAAATGGGTTAATAATTAATTAATTACAAAATAAATCGAGTTACATGTCATCATAGATCACTATTCCTAAACCCAATGGAGTAATAGCCCTAATAAATAGCTAACTAAGTTAAAATCAACAATTGAATTACGTTATCATATAATAATGAGAAAGATTTTTTTTTATCATCAAAACATGTCTCTATTCATATCAAAAGATTCAGGATCATTACATCAAGCAAAGGGAAAATAAAGCAGACACCAACTAAAACTCCAACAACTACGATTGTAACCCTATGGTGAGACTTTGAGACGGTCACCTGACGTGCACTTTGTCGTGAGGTGCACTCAAAGTAATAATACAATACAACACAAATACGTAGTATAGTGAAGTAAGGTTCGTATCCACAGGGAAAAGAATACTTTTCTTCTTACAGAAATAGATAAGTAACAATAAGGGGGGTTTATATTTGGTTGATGAACTTTAAATTATATTTAAACACGAAGATGAACGAGTTATGTGGTTTAATTAATAAGAAGGAGACTTGGCTTTGCTTTTATCCACTTAATGAAATGTTCATCGATCCCGGTTATATCTTTAATTATCTTCCTCTCGAATACTCAATCGAGGAGTATATCCAATTCATCGAGGGTAGTTATTAATAACGAGACGCGTTCATTAATAAAACTTACTACCGAGTTTATATAGAACACGCGCCATATATTCACTCGATAGTAGCAATGAAATCAAGATGAAAACGATTGAGATTGATAACCTCAACACAAGCGGTTTATTGGTTTAATCAATATAATTAATTCCCCTTGGTTTATTAACCATGAAACGCATGCATTAATAACCCAAGTTTACTACCGTGAAAGGACCGAATTAATAACAAGCGTATTAATCGACCGATTCTAGTAATAATTAATATATGAAACAAAACTAGTTGATCCATGTTCAAAATATTAATATGAAATATGAATAGGAATTAATTAATATTCAAGAAAGAATATTAAAGAAGATGAATCCTACTATAGTTAATATCAAGATGTTAACTAATTGTCATCTTAGTAACACTCCCCAATATTAACATAGAGGAAGAAATAACTATTACTATAACTAATGTCAAGATGTTAACTAATTGTCATCTTAGTAACACTCCCCAACATTGATATAGAAATAGTATTTAAAGGAAGAAGTAATATTCAAGGAAGAAGATTAAAGAGAATAACTCACAACTTACAAATTCATTAAGCTTCAAAGTAGCAAAACCAAGATGGAAGAGTTTAGCTCCTCATTTGGAGACTAAACATGATGAAAAATATAAAGAAAGAACTTGTCTAAACTGAGCTAAGAAGTATATGTGAATTGGTGCTTTTATGGGAAGGAAATGGGGTGTATTTATAGGCTTTTGGGAGCTGCAGGGCTGTGTACCCGATCGGGTATATAGGATACCCGATCGGGTATCTTAGGAAATTGCCCAGAAACTGAAAAATAGGGTCATACCCGATCGGGTCTGTCGGTCACCCGATCGGGTATGACAATCGAACATGGCCAAAATCTTTCCCGCATGTTGCTCGGTTCCCGGGTTGATCCGATTTGATTTTTTAGAAGGGTACCCGATCGGGTATAGGTCATACCCGACCGGGTACAGACCAAAAACGAAATCTCCACTTTTTGTCTTGCATTTTTGCACTTTCCTTCCACTTGTGGTGTTCACCAATGGTCCCCAAAGTGTTCTTGGACCTGTTTGAGCTCAGAATAAACCTAATCTAAACATATTACAAATATTTTACAAACTAAACTATTACACCAAAAGTGTGTAATTTCCGAAGTAACACTCACTCTAAACTAATTAAAAACACAAATTTACACATGGAAATTACATGAATGTCAACTCCCCCACACTTAGCTTCTTTACTCGTCCTCGAGTAAAGTCAAATGTTTAACAGTTCCAAGTCCTCAAGAGTTCAACAATCAACAAGAAAAAGCAAAAGACCACCAAGGATAAAACATGAGTTTTACATTGAATGTTTAGCTCAACGAACAATATCTTCTTGGGTTTTATGGCCTTCTATGCTCATCTCTTTTCTTCTCCTCTTTTCATGTTCAAGAGATTAAATGATGTCCTATAAAAACAAATATCTCTCTCATATCTCTCATTTTTCCTAGGAGCCTTTTCAGGTTTTCATCCTAGCATCTCTTTTTATTTTCCATCCTTTCCACTCACTCATTTTTTTTAAAGCCATTTTTGCTTAGATTGCCCATTTTTGGGTTTTCAACCTAACTAGCATTTCTTTTCTTTTCCTTTTTTTTGATTTTTTTTTATTTTTTTTTTGAAGAAAATGATGTTAGTTACAAGGTATCAAACTTAAGTACGTATCAATGAGTGACTCCCCCTCACTTAGCTCGAAGCACTGTCCCTAGTGCTCGTCTCCGTCATACTCGGGATGAAACAGACATCCTCGTAGCCTTGAATTGTCCCCTTGCATTTGAACTTTTGGCCCTATCCCTCTTCGGTGCCATTGATGCCCTTTTGACGCTTTGAAATTCGGACTTGGTGTTTTTGGGGTAGGGTTTCGAATTTTTGGGGAGGGGGAGAGATGGTGTAATTGGTGGGTATGATGTGGAGAGGAGAGTGAGGGAAGTGTTTGGTGGTGGGTTGAGGGAATTTGGTTGAGTGATGATGGAGATATGGAAGGAAAAGGGTCAAAAAATGGTGGGTTTGGGTGAGAGAAATCGGACATTGGGGTTTGGGGAAGAAGTGACTTGAATTGGGTCTGATTTGGGGTAAAAAGCTCAAGTACCCGATCGGGTGGTTTGATATACCCGATCAGGTAATTTAATTCGAAGGATTTTTTAGCTTTCCAGATTAATTCACCCGACCGGGTGACTCGAATACCCGACCGGGTATTACGTCGTTGTTTTTTTTTTCCTGCTCCAGGGGTTCTCACCCGATCGAGTTTGGGGGTACTCGATCGGGGAATTTAATTCGAAGGAAAAAATTTTAAATTTCCGTAATATACCCGATCGGGCCTTATGGGTACCCGCTCGGGTACCCTCTTGAAAATTTTCTTACTTTTCGATCGGGTTTCCTCAAAGCCCTGCCTTTTCATACGTACCCGATCGGGTATAGCAATGGTGCCCGATCGGGTACCCTACCCTGGGACGTGTTTTTGTCCAGTTTTAACCTCTTTTTAGTGCGGATCCGATCGGTTAAGTGATGAAGACCGATCGGAGGTTTTCCCAGGCTTTCAAAACATGGTTTTCCCTCATTTTTCTTTTGAGAATTTTCCCCATTCTCTCAAAGTTGATATTCAAAAACAAAAATTTTAAAAAGAAAAGATGAAAGATGCGTACCTAAGCATGGGTTGCCTCCCAAGAAGCGCTTTAGTTAACGTCGCGGCACGACATTATTATTATTTTTTTTATTGTTTTTATGTGGGATCGTGAATATCCCCTGTTTCATTCTTTTTCTTCAGCCTTTTCCAGTAAGGCCGAGATTTCTTCTTTGTTATCACCTCAAACACAAGTGATTTACTTTCGTATTTAGGTGCCTCTTCTTTCAAAATAGATTTTTCTTGTTTAATTCTTTCCTTAAAAAGTGAGGTCTCCTTGGCTTGTTTTTCAACAAAAACGTTTGGTGTTTGTGGTTCAAAAACATTTAGAGAACAAAGAGATTGGTCTTTAAATTGTTTTTTCGTAGAATCAAAGATGTTGAATTCTACCTTTTGGTCATCAAACTCCAATGTTAATGAACCATTAGACACGTCTATTTTTGTTTGGGCGGTTTTTAAGAAAGGTCTCCCCAAAAGGATGGGTGTAGTTTGGTTATCGACTTCCATTTCAAGAATATAGAAATCAACAGGGAAGACCAAATTTTCAACTTGTACTAGCACGTCCTCTACTACACCCTTTGGGTATGTGCAAGACCTATCTGCCAATTGGATTACCACCCCGGTTTCATGCATAGGGCCAAGTTTTAGGGACTTGTATAATGAATATGGAATAACATTGATTGAAGCCCCTAAATCCAACAAGGCCCTAGGAAATAAAGTGTCCCCTATTTTGCATGGGATAGTGAACATGCCTGGGTCATTGCATTTTTCCGGGAGTTTCCTCTGGAAAATTGCTGAGACACGTTCACTAACCTTTACCTCTTGTTTT